ACCTTTGCAGTAGGGGTATTACCCTCATTTATTCTGGTAGGAAGCAGTAGAACCTGGACGGAAGTGCCAATTCTTTGCCTTTTTCATATACGAATGTGCCACACCTCTTCATTAGGCACCCTCTGGACAACAGTCTAACAGGAGGCCATTATAGTGTCATGGCCTACATTGGGCTCTGCAGTCAGATTACCTGAGATTGAACTGTACTAATGACTTTGGGCATGCTTGTAAACTTTATGTGCCTCAGTTTTCTCTAGAGATAATCATAACGTATGTGTAAAGGAACTCAGAAAATTCCATCTCAAAGCTTTTTGTTGTTGTTAGTTTTGCTCTGTAGTGATCTTAATCTGGGAATTAGATTGATTTATTAAACTCATTGGGAGAGCTTGGAACCACAAAGCTGTTTCATTCACAAAAGGGAATTTTTTTAGCAAACTATGACTTACGAAAAAAGTAAAATTATGAGTTGTTTTTCCGTTTTCACACCTGGCTCTATGTCATAAGAATTTTTACATGTTAACTGCTTGGTAATATTTGTATTAAAGAAAAGTCAGAACCTGCCTATTGGTGCCTCCTATGAGATGAAAAGTTGTGACTGGACACAGCACTATCAGTCATCTCATATATAAGAAAGGCTAGCTGGTCACCTCATTTAGGCAGGAAGCAGTGACCAGGCTGTGTCCAAGGAGCTGCCACTGTTGAGCTCTCTCTCTTTCTTTTTTTTTCTCCTTTCCCTAAGACCATGGGTGTGGGATCTTTACTCCTTAGAAGGATAAACACAATTAGATGAAGAATTATTGTCAATAATGGCTAAGAAACCAGTACAAGAAATAGCTATTATTCAACATTATCTTAGATAGAGAAATTAAGGGATTTTGTTGAATGCTTGTTAACTAATGTTTGTCTCTTAAAGTTCTGAACCTTTTCTTGCTGCCTTATAAAAAGAAGCAGGTAACTGGGGCCTGGCAAGATGAAGGGAGACTTCCCCAGTCTTTGGTCAAAAATTCCTTTAAGACTTCTTGTGAGTGTTAAATGGGTAATAAAAGCATTAAACAACAGCACCTGGGATATAGTAGATGCTGAATACATAAAAATGTTCACAAATAGCTTTGGAATTTGAGAGAGTTTGGCTAAAGTGGATGTTATGTGTGAACATATTGTACTATTCTCTTGCTGAGGTCACAATGCAAAGATTGTTTGCTGACATGAGCCAAGCACCTCTGCATATGCTTGGAAAACATTAACAAGTCTACTATCAGTTTTTCCTCTCAGTCGTCACCTTTTGAAACTATATTCCTTCTTTTCTAAATCCTTTCTCTTCCCTTTAGCTTCTTGATCCTGTTTACTGTTACCTGGATCAGAGTAGTGCCTTTTCTGTCTCACAGGTGGAGCCAAGTGCCCTGGGTTCTGGCCTGGGATCCTGTTAGCTGCTTTTCATTCAGGAGTGTCCCTGCAGGAGATATTGTGAAACAGCAGGGAAAGCTGTGGTTTTGGGGTCAGAAAGCCATGGCTGGGACGCCTGGTTCTGCTCATTGCTCCTATGTGACTTTAGACAAAGTAATTCACCTCTCTGAGTCTCATATATCTTCACAATGAAGATATTCCCTATCTTACAGTTTTTATCAAACAAGATAACTATAAATATAAATAATTGGCTCAAAATGTGATACACGGTTGGTGTTCAAAACTATTAATTCTCTTCCTTCCCCTTCCATTCTCCTTATTATATACACTGCCTACTTATATACCATTTGTAACATAAGAAAACCTTAAGCAACTCTTCTAGTTTAAACATGTTTGTTTTTTTTCAGCTTTTCCTGTCTTCTAATTGTGTGATGTATCACTTTTTAAAAAGTAAATGCAAAGGCTAGCCCCTTTTCTGTGATATTCAGTTTTCTGCCTCACAAGTAGTAACCACCCCCCCAAGAGGATTTTCTTTGAACCAGTTAGGACTGTGAGCTGTAGGGAAGGAGGTCGGGAAGGAAGAAGAAAAGGGATGTGTTTGGCCCTGAGAAACACGTTCCTCTTCTACTCCGTTTACCAGCTGATGAACAATTCACAACACGTGGTAAACTTGTTTTCATTCCTTTTCTGAAAGCATTTCCACTTACATCCCCTTGGGCATTTGCTCTTTCTTAGATTTATGAGTCTGAGAACACATTAGCACCCAACCTAAATGTGGTCTCCTGCCCTTCAAATCCTACTCTGGGAACTTTCCATCTACCCACATAGCTGTCATATGTGCTGTGGCCAGTCTTGAACCCTTTCTAGACCTTCATTTCTGCTTCCTCTTCTATGAAATCAAGTGAGTTAGTTTAGTTTAGATTCAGATTTAGCAAACTTCTGTAAAGGATCAGATAGTAAATATTTTAGGCTCTGCAGGCCTTTGACTCAACTCTGCCTGAAAACAGCCATAGACAACACAGAAAAGAATGGGCATGGCTGGCCTCCAATAAAACTTGATTTTTGAACACTGAGATTTAAATTTCATCTCATTTCTATGTGTCATGAAACATTCTTCTTCTTTTGATTTTATTTTCAACCATTTAAAATGTAAAAAACATTCTTAGCTCACAGATGGTGTGAAAGTAGGCAGCAGACCAGATGACATGTAAGCCGAGTTTGCTGACACCTGTTTAGTCATTTTGAAAGGCTCTCCCACCTTTAAGAATCTGTGGGACTGTGAGTAATCAGCTATGGTGGTGCCTGGTTATGTCAGAGGAAAATCTTTGCCCAGCTTCTCAGAGCACTGTACAGTCGGCCCTCTGTATCCATGGGTTCCACATCAGATTCAACCAACCACAGACCAAAAATATTCAGGAAAAAAACCGAACAAAAATGAACAATAAAAATAATACATGTTAAAAAATATAGTATAACAACTATTTACATGACATTTACATTGTATTAGGCATCGTAAACAATCTAGAGATGATTTAAAGTATATACAGGAGGTTTATGCAAATATTATGCCATGATATATAGGGGCCTTGAGCATCCACAGATTTTGGTACCTGTGGGGGGTCCTGGAACCAATCCCCTGAGGATATGGAGGGATGACTGTATTCAGAGAAGACCACATAGGACAAATGTTTCAAATGCTCAGGTCTGGGACGGGATGACCCATCCTTGGAGGATTTAAAAAAAAAAAAAGTCTTCGCATTATATTCCCTTCAACCTCTTTATTGCTCTACCTTTCTCTCTAGCCAAGGTCCCAGTCCTAAAGCCCAAGAGACCCTCAGTGGAACTTGACTTCTGCATAATCTGCCTGGGTATCCTCGAGTCTGGGTCTGAGGTCTAGGAACTTGAGCGTAGCATAATGGAGCTCTTCTTGGCTGTTTTCATATTCTGGGCCTTGAGTAGATGATTTAGGTCTTGGGCCACTCGGGGAAGCAAACTGTAGCTCCTTCTGGTTCTTCTTTGGTTCTGGGGGGTGAACGCCTGGTGAAGGGGACTGGGAAGGGCTGCTTGGTTTGGCTTTCCTATTCCGAGCCTGCGGGAATAACGATCATCCTTCTTTCACTCATTCAGCAAATATTTGAGCACCTACCGTGTGCCAGGCACTGATTAGGAAATGGGGTTATAGCAGGGAGTAAAACAGTGCAGGAAGAAACAATAAACAAGCAAAATATAAAAAGTAAGTGATAAATGTCAGGAAGAAAATAAAACAGGGTAAGGTGAACAGTGGAAGGGGAGGTGGGTGCCTATTGAAATAGGGTATCCAGGGAAGCTCTCTCTGAGGGGATTATATTTAAGCAGAGAGAAGGAATTAAATGAGGCAAGGAACCATGCAAAAGCTGGGGAAGAATTATCCCTGGGGAAAGAAGCAATAAATTGGAATACTCTAAACTGAGATTGGGATTGCATGTTTGAGGAAGAGCCAGACAGCCCATGGGCCTAAAGAAGAATAAATCCATTAAGAGAGGTGGGAAATGAGGTCAGTAGGGGAGTCAGGCCTTGGAAACTCTGGTAAGGGCTTTGGATTTATTCTAAGTATGATGAGAAGTCATTGGAGGTGTGAACAGGAAAGTGAGATGCTTTGATTTTTTTTCTTTTAACTTTGTATTTTGGAATTATTATAGATTCCCAGGAAGTTATAAAAAATAGTACACAGAGGTCCCGCGGACCCTTTCCCCAGTTTTCCCCAGTTGTCAGATCTTATGTAACTATAGTACAGTATGCAAACCAGGAAGCTGACATTGGTACCATGTGTATGTGTTCTATGCACTTTTATCTCCTGGGTACTATTATGGGCTGTATTGGCTCCTCCCACCCGACCTGATACATTGAAGTCCTAGTCCCCAGTACCTAAGAATGGGATTATATTTAGAGATAGGATCTTTAAAGAGGTAATCAAGTCCCATATGATTGGTGTCCTATAAAAGAGGAGATTATGCATAGCGGGAAAACTACGTGAAGACATATGGAGAAGACAGCCAACTCCAGGCCAAGCAGAGAGGCCTCGGGAGAAACCGACCCTGCCCACACTTTGACCTGGAACTTCTAGCCTTCAGAAAATAAATTTCTTTCATTTAAGCCACACAGTCTGTGTTACTTTGTTGTGACAGTTTAATAGTACTTGGCAGACCAATTCAGGTAGATCCATGTAACTACCATTGCAATCAAGACACAGATCTCTCACTTGCTGTCTCTTTAGAATCCCACTTGTTGTTCTCCCATCCCTAACCCCTGGCAACCACGAATCCGTTCTCCATCTATATAATTTTTTGTCCCTAAGATCCATCCCTAGCTTGCTCCTCTTGACTGCTGAGTAATATTCCATGGGATAGATGTGCCTCCTTGGGTCTTTAAAAGGATATCATGTACATAGAAATAGACTGGAGGGGGCAGGAATGGAAGCAGAGAGGGCATGCAGAAGGCGACCATGATGTCTGGGTAACAGTGGATGGACTATGCAGGTGAGAGGAGAGTGGGGGAGAAGTTTTGGATGTATTTTGAAGGGGATTTGCTGATGGATTGGTTGTGGGGTGAGAGAGAAGAAAGGAGTGAAAGATGATTCTAAGGCTTTAGTCTTGGCTAGGCAATGTGGTGGTGTTTGCTAAGTGGAGATGGAAGGGAAATATGTACAGTGGAGTTAGTCTTAAGCTGGTTTTGGACAAGCAAAGTTTGAGATGCCATCCAAAGGGATATGAGCCTGGAGTTTGGGGAAACTGCCGGGAGACGTAAATTTTGGAGTCATCAGCATATAGATGTTATCTCCTAATTATATGTAACATTTACTGAACACTTACTAGGGGCCAGATATTATTCTGAATGTTTTGTAGGTATAATATGCAGGCATGTGCTGCATAACTACA